TGTGTCACTGCTGTGCCCTGTGTCACTGCTGTGCCCTGTGTCAGTGCTGTGAGCCATGTCCTGTGTGCCCTGTGTGTGCCCTGTGTCACTGCTGTGCCCTGTGTCAGTGCTGTGAGCCATGTCCTGTGTGCCCTGTGTGTGCCCTGTGCTGTGCCCTGTGTCACTGCTGTGTGCTGTGTGTGCTCTGTGTCTGTCACAGACACATTTTATGAAAAATCCTTTCCTTAGGATTTTTTCTTCCTGAGAAGCTGAGAGGCCTCAGGAACAAAATGTAAACCATGATTATGTGCTGCTGTGGGATGCAACAGGTACATCTGGGATTGGTCTCATGCAGTTGTTTCTAATTAATGGCCAATCACAGTCAGCTGGCTCAGACTCTCTGAGACAGAAGCTTTTGTTATTCATTCTTTCCTTTTCTATTCTTAGGATTTCATCAGAAGGCTAGCTTTCTTCTAATCTTTTAGTATAGTTTTAATATAATATATATCATAAAATAATAAATCAAGCCTTCTGAAACATGGAGTCAGATCCTCATCTCTTCCCTCATCCTAAGACCCTGCGAACACGGTCATGCTGTGCCCTGTGTGCTGTGCTTTCAGAAGAGCACAGGAGAGAGAAGCAACCCACTGCTGCCTGTGCTGGAACCTTTTTGTCATGGTTTGTCTTGTCTGTCGTAGTTTGCTCTTCATTTATAAACCTCAGAGGTAGCAAGTGAAGTCTGTTTACCTAGACGTGGCTTTCACACAACGTTCTGGCACTTCTTGATAAGCAGGAGAAAAGTGTTTGGAATCTCTGTTGTGTTTGTACTACAGAGAACACCCCAGAGAACCTGTTTTGTTGCTGTCTCTGTTTGTGAAGACAAACATGACTAATTAGAAGGGAACTGCTTGGGTGGAACAGACCAGGCTCTGCCTCAAAGCCCAGTGGCAGTGCCAGGTTCACAGGTGGACTTGATGATTTTCCTTTTCCTATAGGAATGTGCTTCCTGTTGATGGAGTGACATAACTATCCTTTGTCTCCTTAAAAAGGAACTTCTTTCTTCAATTTGCAAAAAAGACACCTCATAGGACCTGGGAGACTTTACCTCAAACTTAAGGATAGCCAATTGGATAGAAGCCAAAAAATTTTGCCTGAGCAATTTGCTAGAAAAAGAAGAAAACACAGAAACTAATGGCTTTTGTGAGATGTTTTACTAGGAGCAAGAACTTCTTGCACCTGTCTCGGTTTTTCTCTATAAAGAGTTTTGTTATTTTGCCTTTTATTAGAACTTTTTTGTTTCCAACACTGCCACAGAAGCCATCCTGCTGATTTTATGCCTTCTAAGTAGCTGAGTTATCTTGGGTGTGATACAGATCTCCAAGAGCTTGAGGAGACCCTTATATCATCTTCTGTGCTGGTGTTCACAGGGGTCCCAGGATGAGGGAGGAGACGAGAATATTGACTCCATGTTTCAGAAGGCTGATTTATTATTTTATGATATATGTGATATTAAAAGAAAATTATATACTAAAACTATACTAAAAGAATAGAAGAAAGGATTTCATTAGGAGGCTTGAAAGGAATAGAAAGGAATGATAATAAAATCTTGTGACTGCTCATAGCCTGTCATTGGTGGCTTATAGCTCCTAGGTGGCTGTCATAGGTCATAAAGTAAAACCAATTTCACATGCTGGGTAAACAATTCTCCAGATCACATTCCAAAGCAGCAAAACATGAAGAAACTGAAGCTTCTCACCTCTCAGGAGAAAAGATCCTAATGAAAGCATTTTTCATAAAATACACCCATGACAATTTTCCAGCCTGAATGATACCATAGTTATGTGATGCTAAAAGTGTGTTTTGTTTTGCTTGCAGGGATTTGGTGCAGAGAGAAAGATCCGCCAGGCTGGTGTTATAGACTGATCCCCAGCCCACGGCGGCGTTGGGCCGTGCGGTGGGGCTGCCGAAGGGTACTGAATATCTCCCTGTTCACCCCTTCCTCCAAATTCTCAGAAGCTATTCCACCAGTTTTAACACCTTCTCATGTTATGTTTAAAATTAAATTTACGAAACCATTTTAAATTTCTGCACAGTTGCATTCTGGAGAACTTTAAGGTGGCGCCTTATAGTATCACATTTTAGAAGCTTGTTTTGAATGGTGCATTTAACGCAACTGGTAACTGCAATCTCCATTGCCTCTGTGAGTAAACATAGACAGCTCTGCTCGGGCAGACCTTGTGGAATTCTGCACTACAGTTATTATGCTTTATCCTTGTTTTTGGCCAAGGTTTATTATGCCTTAGTGCTCAGTTGCATTATCTCCTTTCCCGAGTGGAAGGGAAGACTCACTTCAGCTCACTCTGCTCAAATTTTGAGGAACGTGTGAGGGTGGAATAAGTTCTGTTTCTATCAGATCTCCACAAACATTCAGATACCTTGAGTTGATGGCCAAATGTTACAGTGTTTTCCTAGTTCATTTAACTTGACTCCTTTAGCCAGTCCTTAGAGCTCAGTGCAAGTCTCTCCCAGGGTCGGTGGATTTTGTAGTGTTCTGGAACAGACAGTGCAGAATTTCATAAGGCTGAGGTGTGCCATCAGTGTGGTAATTTAAATATATTTAAAACAATGCACAAATCTGCTGCTGCTTAGAACACTGCAGCTTCTAAACCCAGTTTCTTTTACTGATTTAAATTTAAAAAGAAAGAAGTTGTGCCTGAAGTGGATACATTTTTTTTGTTCTTTTTGCAGCCGGCACCCAGTGTACTGTAAGAGAATAAATACTTAGGCTTTCCATAGCTGTATTGAGACTTTCATCAAGGTGACTAGTTGATGTCTGTGTGCTTTTTTTTTTGTTTTGTTTTTTTTTTTTTTTTTGTTTTATTTGGTTTTATTTTATTTTGGGTTTTTTTTGGTTTTTTTTTTCTCCCCTGCCCCCCTCCCTCCATTTCCCCAGTCACACTTTATCAAGCAAGAAAACTGAATGATTGGTCTAAGTATTACTGTAACCAAAAAGATCAGGAGTTACTTTTTGGAATAGAGGGCAGTACTGTGGTTTGGTTTGGGTTTGTTTTGTTTTGTTTTTAATTTTATTTTTATTTTGGTTAATTTTTTTTTGTTTGGTTTTTTTTTTTTTTTTCATGTTACCTCTATTCTCAATTTAGGGTTTTCTTCTCTGGGAGATGCATTATCTTTGTAAAACAAAACATTGCTTTCTCCAATTTTTTTTCTGTTAATGGCAAAGAATGGAAATAGAATAAAGTTTTACTGATTTTGAAAAAAGCCTTGTTGTGCTCAGCCTCTTCTTTCCTCAGCGGGGGCTGTGTTAGACCTGTGTTGTCCCCATCACAGACTCCGTCCTGGTGCCTCCAGTTCTCACACCACCATGAGGGAATTCTGTGCTTTATTTCCAGTCTGAAAGGCCCCATCATCTACCCTACACTAGTTATGCATTATAACAACAGCGACATTCATTGGTTACAAATTACATCACTTCTAATTAGTGCCCACCCCATTTATGAGCTCTGCCCTCCCCGTGCCCATCCGTGCCCGGCTCAGTTCTGTTCCTTGGCGGGGTCTGTTGGCAGCAGGGTCAGAGCTGTTCCCCCCCTGCTGCAATTCCCTTTCCCCGGGTTCCTGCTCTGTCCCACGGTCTGAGCCAGACCCTCCCTTTGGATTGGGGTCACTTAAACAAAAACCAATCCTAGCGCAGGATGCTCCCACTGCAGTCCCCTACCCAGAACCGCCCAGCTCCAGCTATTCATCAACAACTTAAAAGCACAAAGCTTGACTTTATTCCCTTTTCAAATCTCGAGAGCTCGCTGTGATTCCCAGTTTAAAAACCACAAAACCACAGGGTCTGGGTTCGGTGGCGTTCCCGCTCTAAAGCCCCGGGGTACGGGCCCGGTGCCGTTCCCCTTTCAAAGCCCCGGGATGCGGGCTCGGTGCCGTTCCCCGTTCGAGGCCGTGGGCCCGGTGCTGTTCCCCCTTGAAAGCTCCGCGATGCGGGGCCAGTGCCATTTAAAGCCCCGTGCTTCGGGCTCCGTTCCGGTTCCGAGCCGCGGTGCCG